ATATAATCTATATATGAGTCGACTATTATCAAAGCCGGCAATGTGACTTTTGGACAATTATTGGTAAATCAGAAAAACTAATTATTGACTTTGTATTCCATTGGCAGTCACAAAACTCTTCTGAACGACATCTTAGATAAATAACAGGTTAAGTATTAACCTTTATTTAATGCAGGTTTTGAACCGTATTCTTTGAAGGAGACGATTGATTATATTCAAATCAATCTGTATTGACATATCAATAACATTTTTTTGTCCAAATGCACAGATTGCCACCTTTGATAATNCTAATTATTGACTTTGTATTCCATTGGCAGTCACAAAACTCTTCTGAACGACATCTTAGATAAATAACAGGTTAAGTATTAACCTTTATTTAATGCAGGTTTTGAACCGTATTCTTTGAAGGAGACGATTGATTATATTCAAATCAATCTGTATTGACATATCAATAACATTTTTTTGTCCAAATGCACAGATTGCCACCTTTGATAATAGACGACTCATATATAAAAATGAATTGCTGTTCGATAGTCTCGCTAAAACTCGAGAACGGCTGGACCGTATTGGCTAATTTTGGTCTTGAATTATTTATGGAAGTCCAGAGAAGGTTTAAAAGGTAGATAGATACGTATGAAAATACTCGGAATTAAATAAAAATAACAATTTTGTTTTCCCTTTGATGCGTCCCCCGTCGGACGGATTCCTTTTGTTCGTTTTAAGTTTATTTTATACAAAAGTTTAGATATTTTATTTATCGATTTAGGCACTAAAAAGTCTACCGGGTCAGCTAGTTATCAATAAAAATGGTAGTCGAGATGTTTCTGAATCAATTACTGATGTACTTTAGTTTGCCTTTCGGTTTTCTCTTACAATACCACCCTTGTACTATAAATATATACCTACCTAGGTCGTAGGCGCGTCCGCTCTCCACGCCGGTAAAAGACAAAAAGATTTGACTCATCATCCAACTCAATAAATTGTGTGTCACTAGTCCCTATCTGATGAGGGTATAGGGACCTTAAAAACAAAAATATGACAGTATAATAAGACGTTTACACCCTCGTCAGATCGCGTCCATCCGCGATAGAAAACTCGTAAAATGATACATGAACATTTTTCTCTAAAGGGTTTCTTTAGTTCAAGGTTGATACGGTTTCATATTTTTCATGTTAAACGAAATCTTCCTGTGCTTATATTGCGTGTACAAAAATTCCTATTAGGGGGAATTAGAATAAGCGACCGGACCAACAGCTAGCCTAATATCTTCAATAATTATTTTTGTGATAAAATAACATATTATTGTTGTTATTTATAGATGGCTCTGCGTGTCGACAAGTGATGGTCCGAACTTTGAATACTCATGAGATATGAAGGCAGAGAAGGATAAATTAATAAAATATTGAAACCTGAGAGTACCGTAATGGGACAAGTACATTCAACTATCATTATTGTTTAATAAATACAGTTGATATTCTAGAATTATTCTACCGAATATTGTCTTGGTGTAAGACTTGTTAGGGGAAAGCTTGGCCTCAAGAGCAAAGATAAAACACTTCCGTATCTTTCTCTACTTCGTTTTACAATACTATTTCGTTAACTAGCTTTAGTTCTATCAAAAAAAGGACGATATAGGTACTTTTTTACCGTCTTAACAAGAAAAAATGTCAATCAAAACAAAAATCTATTACTTAAAATGAATTTCAATTTTTAATAGTCCCTAATAATGGGCATCGGGCGTATTTCGATCATTCGGCGAACACTACATCGAATAAAACTTCAGTGTACTTTTGAATATGTATATTTGACTAAAAAATAATTGAATATTATTTTAAAATCAATAACCAGGGTCATATCACAGTTTAATAAGTAAAAATTAACATCTAAGTGAGAGAGCTTTACGGCCGTTTTCAATAACGTATCTGAGTTTTTGGATAGATAGCTATCTCCGAATATCAGCAAGAGCGTATCTATCCTTAGTTTGCGTTTCACAATCACGGATAAGTGCTATCTCTCTTTAACCAACAGTAGATAGCTTCTTCCCTCCGATTTATCCGAGCCTCTTGATACGTTTCGTTCTACTACAAATACGAAACAACATCAGGATCAAGACTTATTTTATTTTATTCTAAATTATAACNGCCATCAAGCAACAACATTTTGAAACATCAATGATGCATTGCACACAAATTACACATTCAAAATACTCTTTTTCTATTTCTAAATTCCTCTCCTATATTTGAATCTGTAACACAAATATAAAATGTAGAGGTATCAGTGTGTAATAAGAATGAAGGTAAATAGCCTACCAGGTTATTGTATTAGTATATGAATGTCATTCATGGTGCCCACCATGGGAATCCAGCAGTATTATAGAATTCCTGTTGAGTGTGATTTTGTAACACAACAAAAATTAGGTATAATTTTGCTATTGCTATAAACAAATATAAGTTGTAATAACGAGTACTCTTATGGTTAAAATTTATCTTACCTTTTTGACGTTACACTCAAATATGGTCTCATTAAATTAATCAATTCATTCACAACACCTTTGCTCAGAAATCTATAGTCAAATTCGTAATTATTGATCTTCGCCATGTAATTCAGACGATCTTTATTTTCATAACCATATGATATCGGCCTCACTATCACTATCTGCATCACAATCCATTATCATTTGAAATAATTCCATATCACTATCATCACTGCTACAATATGCCAATATGAAGAGAAACAATTATTAAATTATAGCGATTTACTTTCGAAATATAAACATGTAACCGGCCGATTTTGACAGATAAGCGAATGCCCATACTAGAGATAGCGCCGCCTACCGGAGAGTTACTTAAAACTCATATTGAAACGGAAGTAAGCACGATTTGTATGAGCGTTCTATCTTTAGCAGGCTATCCGTCCTCCCTTCGATGGATAGATAAATCCGATAGGAACTGCTGCCCGTCGATAGGTTATTGGAACGTAAGTAAGGACAAAAATATAGATTTGTCTATCTTTAGTAACCGAAACTAGGGATAGATAGGTTATTGAAAACGGCCGTTAGTGTATTTACTCTTACTGTGTAGTGATGCTGTATTTTCTATACTATATTTAAGTATAACTAGTGGTCCCCTGGTAGTCGAAATTCGACTATAATTAATTGAAATATAACTTTGTACACAATATTATTAAAGACAAACAATATTGAATCTATTCTCACCTTAACCAGAGACTAACAATAAGCAAAATCGTATATATGCGTGTGTGTGTGTGTGTGTGTGCGTGTGTGTAATACATGTTAGTGTGTATAATGTTTCCTTTATTGGTTTACTGTATTTTTATGCATTATTTTAAAAATGTATAATTGCATTGTGCACTCCTTCTCTATATTCTCTATAAGTGTGGGAAATTTTATACTCCTCCGTCGGCGCAATTTTCGTAAAAAAGGGTACAACTGGCTATAAGTTAGATAGGAGTGAACATAAAAAAATATTGCAATTGCGCCATCTAACGACACATTAGAAAAGATAAATTAGAAGACAGCGCCATCTATGAAGCAATCCCATCATTTATCTCATTTTTAGTTCTTTGCATTAAATCATTAGGAAATAACAGAAAATTCTCTAAGGTTGAGCCAGTGAGTTCACTTACGCGTCCAGGCGTAGCCATAATACCCCATGCCCCATAGGCTACCAGCGAATAGGACGAGATAAAAAGAAAATATGGGACACATTTATTTAATGGAAACTCCGACTCCGCTAAGGAACCACATAACATGCAATTATTTAAATTTATTTATAGTCGGAATTTTAATTCGATTCCAGATTTGACAATTTCAGTGTTGCAATGTTATGACAAGTACTAAATAGTGACGTTGTGAAATTATTCGATATGGAAATGGAATATTTCCGGATCGATTTTTCTCGTTTATAATTTTATTCTCGTAAACTAAACATATCAGGAAATTAAATATTTCTGAACCGATTATTTAGTTTTGACGATTAATTAACGATCTGAGAGTTTTCTTTAATAATTGTGTGTGAAATAAATAAATAAATGTGATCATGAAAGAACATGAAAAATAAAACAGATATATGTATTATCATTATTTTACAAAATGACAGTAGCTAATGTCAAATGTGGAATCGAATTATAATTCCAGATATAAGTAGGTATATTGTTTACAGAAACAAGAATAAATGACGAATAATTCTCATTTATTCCTGTTTGCTTCAGGTTTTACCTTCTAAGCAACCTATTTATTTAACTAAAACTGCTTTTACTGTTTGGCACTTTTATTATTTTCTTGATATTATTTCCAACGTTTCCTATAGGTACTATACGGTTACAGTGGTCACGGATGACGAAAATAATATAATGACAATAAATTATTTACGTCTATGACTCACGGAATACAAAAGAAAATACTCTATACCCTGTATATACATAATAATATGTCGAGGGGTTAAAGGCGGTTTAAGCAACATTTTATTTATTTATTGCTTAGATGGTCGGACGAGCTCACAGCCCACCTGATATTAAGTGGTTACTGGAGCCCATAGACATCTACAACGTAAATGCGCCACCCACCTCGAGATATAAGTTCTAAGGTCTCAGTATAGTTACAACAGCTACCCAAATCTTCGAACCGAAACGCATTACTGCTTCACGGCGGAAATAGGCGGGGTGGTGGTACCTACCCGTGCGGACTCCCAAGAGGTCCTACCACCAGTGAAGCTGAAGAAGTTTTTTTGATATCTACGCTTGAAAGGCAAACGTGACTAAGCGACAGTGCGTGAACTTTACAGTAGATTAATTTAAAGTTGAAATACCTGAAAAAAAATATATTTTAACGAATCTAGCTGTAGGATTGAAATTATTTTAATAGACCTAGAAATATATTGTTTTTGCGCATCGAATATGGTTATTGCCTATTATTTATGTATAAAGCAGTTATTGTCGCTTAGTCACGTTTGCCTTTCAAGCGTCGATATGATAATTTTTTCCAAATTTTAAACTTTAAATGGCTCTCCTGTAAAAATGTCGCTTAGACCAAATAGCCTTTTATCCCACGAATTTTTTTTTAATTGATTATTAAGTTCTAATTAACTACGTCTTAGTGTCTGTTATAGCTCTGTCTTAATGTTACATATTCTGTAATATTCTTGTTCGGGTAGCAGGAAATCTTTAGTCAATTCCATGAACTTTGTCAGGCCGCAGGGGTTTGTGTCGCAGCCGTTGATCTGCAACACCTGGGGCGTGGAGTCTCCTGCTTGCGGAAGGTACATCGGCTGGAAAAAATATGTTCATGGAACATGATTGTGTTACTTGATGTTATCCCTTCATCCGCGATTAAGTATATGGTGAACATAATAATAATAATATCAACATCTAATACAAATCGATCAACATCTTAAGAAACTTTCGTTATCCAGCTGGGTTAAGGGCCTAATACAGAAAGCAGTTAGTTATCCTCGATACTGCACGCATTGTGAGGAGGTTTCTCACTCTGGAGTCCTAACCACTGGTGGCTTGTGTCGTAGACACCGCCATTAGCGTCAATCTATTTTATATAATGTTTTTTAAAAATTGTATTTATAATATCTTTTTTAAAAAATATTATGTAATTAATAAGATTTTAAATAAATATAAATAAACAATAATATAACTCTTTATTTAACACCACATGTACAGAGTAAGCATATAAAACAAATAATAGACAGTGACATAAATTGGCAGCCTTATCGCTGAAAGCGATCTCTTCCAGGCAATCTTGCAGGGAGAGGAATAAGCAAACTAGCATGGACGGTGCTATATCTTAATAAACTTAAATTTAATTTTTTTTTATTTTTTTTTATTGCTTAGGTGAGTGGAAGATCTCACAGCCACCTGGTGTTAAGTGGTTACTGGAGCCCATAGACATTTACAACGCAAATGCGCCACCCACCTTGAGATATAGGTTCCAAGGTCTCAGTATAGTTACAACGGCTGCTCCACCTTACAAACCGAAACGCATTTCTGCCGGGTGGTGGTACCTGCCCGTGCGGACTCACAAGAGGTCCTACCACCAGTAAAAAATCTATCCAAACTTATCTTGAAAATGTCGCTAGCGAGATTCAGACATCGGTTAAATATCTTGTCCTCTGTGATAGCTGCAGCTTCGCAAGCCACTAACTTGCAGTAATTACCTCAAAAATGCTTACCAAGACGCTAAGTTCTCCTGTGACCTTCGACCGGTACAGTTCTAAAGCGAAAGCCGCGCCGTATTCCGGGATGCCGTGGTTGCTGCGGACCCTGGACACCTCCATGAACGCGCCCAAGTTGAAGTCGTGCGAGGAGAATACGTGGAGACGGGGCTTGATCTCTTTACCTGATGCTGCGATCAGGGCCTGTTCTGTGAACTTGTTGAGTAGGACCCCTAAAAGAAGAAAAGAACTTGTATATTGTGTTAGTGTTTTCTTAAAATTTTGTTTCTTTGAGTTGTAAATACACGTATAACACAAATTTTTTTTATTGCCCTTATAGGCAGACGAATATACGGCCCACCTGATAGTGAGTGGTTACCGTCGCCCATGGACTTCAGCAATGCCAAGGGCAGAGCCAAGCCGCTGCTTACTACTAATTTTTACATATCGCGTTTAATTCATTTATTGTACAACAACTTATTTTATTTTATTTCTTTTATGTCAACAGTACACGAGTTGATCAATAGATGTGCGCACTCCCACTGAGTTTCTCGCCGGATCTTCTCAGTGGGTCGCGATTCCGAATCGGTGGTAGATCTTACGAAGTACTGCTCTTGCTATTTTTTTTATTGCTTATATTGGTGGACGAGCTCACAGCCCACCTGGTGTTAAATGGTTACTGGAGCCCATAGACATTTACAATGTAAATGCGCCACCCACCTTGAGATATAAGCTCTAAGATCTCAGTATAGTTACAACGGCTGCCCTACCCTTCAAACCGAAACGCATTACTGCTTCACGGCAGAAATAGGCAGGACGGTGGTACCTACCCACGCGGACTCACAAGAGGTCCTACCACCAGTGCAGGGCTAGCGTTAGCAAATTCTTCATCAAGTTGAGCCCGGGAGCTCACCTACCCATCCGGGCGTAGCTGGAATAGCCTCTTAGGCTACCTTCGAACAGGTAGGGGAAAAAAATATGTGAGCAGTCCAGTTGATGTTAATCTATGAACATACCTCCAGCAATTTTTTTCATTTCATTATTTCTGAAGTACAACTTGTAGGCGAGCCTGGCTCCTTCGCTTAAGCTCTCCAGAAAGGGCTTTGCCCACTCCGGTATGTTCAAACCAAGGGCCAACTGTAGGTACAAAGATTACGGTCATTTAAAAACCTTTATATACGTATCATACAATATCTGTGGTAAGTGTGGCATAGGCACAAAGCTAATACAATAGAGATTTCGACCTCATGTTTCAAGCTAAGCGACGGTCTTCTACACTACGAAACTAACCGAAATTAATCTTGCCAAACTATATGCTATAGGTAAACAAAATCAAAAGTAGGCACTTCAACTATTACGCATTTGTTACCTTTTACCTGTTTGGTATAGATACCAACAACGTAAATGCTGCCACCCACCCTAAGATATAAGTTCTAAGGTCCCAGTATAGTTACAACGACTGCCCCGCCCTTCAAACCAAAACGGGTTACTGCTTTACGGCAGAAATAGGCTGGGTGATGGTACTTACTTGTGCAGGCTCTTAAAACGCCCTACCAGTACTAAAAAGTACCACCGGCTCAAGGTCAATCGCGGTGTCTACGCCTGTCTGTTGCGCATGACTTCCGGGAATAATGTCAGGTGACCATCCAGTACAGAAATTCGGCACCATCACTAATGTGCGCTATCCGTCTTCAAGGCTTTGCTTAAAGAGTGACAGTTTTTACTGGTGGTAGGACCCCTTGTGAGACCGCGCGGGTGGGTACCACCACCCTATTTCTGCCGTGAAGCAGTAATGCGTTTCGGTTTGAAGGGTGGGGCAGCCGTTGTAACTATACTTGAGACCTTAGAACTTATATCTCAAGGTGGGTAGCGGATTTACGTTGTAGATGTCTATGGGCTCCGGTAACCACTTAACACCAGGTGAGCTGTGAGCTCGTCCACCCAACTAAGGAATAAAAAAAAACGTTCCGAACAGCGACGTCGGATTCCTGTCCTACTGAACTTGGAAGGACCTTTGGACAACAAGTAATTCTTCCGTCCTAAAATAAAATATCCAAACTGTCTGATTGCTGAGCAATTTCTCCGTTGTCATTCCCCCAAACTTGGCTAGCCAACATCTAGTTCTACCTAACTCTCTCTCTTCGATCGGTCCCTCACTACTGAGGATCGTGTATAAGTTACCGAGCTCCTGAATAAGTCGAACAGGGCTTGCAGAAGCAGCGGGTTCTCAACAAAATTCTGGCCGGTTCTCCTCGAGAGCAACTGCATGACGTCCAGGTACGGTGCGAATTCTTGCCGAATGGATTCGTCCTTGGCGTTCCTCATCAGCTCCACAAACCTGTCGCAGTTGGAGAAGTAGCGAAGCTGTAATTAAGGAAAAAAGAAATAAATGCATGGTTGTGTGTCTTTAGAATTAGATAGAAACATTAGCCCTCTACCGAGAGGGCTGGTGGTCGTGGTGCCGACGACCGCCGGTCCGGCGTCCCGAGGGGGAGGGTGATGGGAGAGATGTGCTCCGCACTAAACGCTTCACTTTCCACCCTTTGCCTTTTCATGAGTTCTGTCTCATGCGAGGTTTGGATGCTGGTTGTTGAGCGACAGGAGGTTTTAGTCGGTTCGACTCCGACATGCCCCGCCCTCCATCCCCAGTGGAGGGCGGAAGTCCGGCGATTTTCTCCTGACAAAAAAAAGCCCTCTGAGTTTCTCGCCGGATCTTCTCAGTGGGTCGCGATTCCGATCCCGTGGTAGATATTACGAAGCACTGCTCTTGCTAGGGCTAGTTTGAGCCCGTGAGCTCGCCTACCCGTCCGCGTGAATCTGGAATAGTCCTTTAGGCTACCAACAAATAGGTAGGAAAAAACACTAACTAATTTTAAAAGCAAATACATTCATGTTACATGATTTTTTTCAGTTTTTTTCAGCTTCAACGATATCAACTTTGAAATCACTCCCAAAACGTAATCATTAAAATCTGAAAGATTGGAAAAGTTAGATACAATTATCTAAGCATCTACCCATCTCCATGCACTTTTGAACGAAGCCACCAAAGAACATGACCAACCTTATAATGACTTTGTGAGTCTATTCTATCTCAAAATAAATCGCCTCTAACTTATTGGTCGACCACTGAGATCATGCTCCCCTCCACGGTGTTTCCCGAGCGCTATGACATGTTCTTCTTCAAACGAGGCTTGTGGAGAGTATTAAACGGTAGGCAGCGGGTTGGCTCTGCCCCTGGCTTTGCTGACGTCTATGGGCGACGGTAACCGCTCACCATCAGGTCGGCCGTTTGCTCGAGTTCCTACAAGGATCAAAGTGGTCATTGATATGGCGTCTTCCGCAATATTTATATTATAAAATTCAACACCATTTCAAAGCTACGACGTCTGTCATCAACCGTATTTCAACGGTGTTACCATTAAGGGCGCTTTGTTTGACTACAAAAAATTATTCAAAATTTATAAAAAATTTGGAACACATATAATAATAAATAAATATATTCTTCAGCTATTTGAATGATGTAAAATTAACTGAAGACCAAATAATAGCATCGAACTGTTGATGCTAATACCAAATAAAACGCACTTTTAATTACAAAGAGAAATGTCGCGTATTAAGCGAATTGTCACTTAATAACCACCAAATAGCCGTCGATGATTAAAAAATAACTAGAGGTCCCGCAGTAGTCGAAATTATTCGACTATAATTAATTGAAATTGTAAGTTTGTACACTATTATGATTCTATTTTATACTTCTCTAATCACAAATTTCGCCAAGACTACACTATAAAAAATATTAACAAAGACAAAAAATATTTAAGTAATCTATTCTCAGTTTGACAGCAGACGCCAAGAACAAAAGTTTGACAATAAATAGTATGCATGCGTGTGTGCGTCAAATACATGGTATGTAGTGTGTGTAATGTTTTCTTTATTGAATTAATGTATCTTTTATGCATTATTTTCTTCGATGATCGAAGATTATTTTAAAAAAATATTAGCATTGTGCACTTCTACTCTATATTCTCTATAAGTGTGGAAAATTTCATACTCCTCCGTCCGCGCAATTTTCGTAAAAAGAGATACAAAGTTTTTGCTTCACGTATTAATATATTAAAAAATAATGAAATAAATAAATGTCGATATTACATGACAAGCAAACGGGCTGTGAGAACGATAATTCTTCCATAAAAGACAATTTTGTTTTAATATCTATATATATAAAAGAAAGTCGTGTTAATTACACTATTTATAACTTAAGAACAGCTGAGCTGATTTGACTGAAAATTTGGTAGGGAGTTAGCTTAGAACCAGGAGAAGCACATAGGATACTTTTTATCACGTTCCCGTGGGACGTGACATAAAACGTGGTATAACAAAACGCAACTGACAGCTAAACCTAATGTAGTCTGTGGTTAAATCATAGACCTATATAGTATACTTCATTGGGTTAAATAAAGTAGAATTTTGAAGTTGACCGGTTGATGTCTTTGTTTTGAGTTTCTATTAGCTTATTGTGCCGCGATAGGTAATCAAAGAAAGCCATGCCGCGATCAACACGATCAAATCTTTTCCGAAGAAGCCGTAATGCACCTAGGATTCGAAACATTGCGAGTGAAATGACTGAAAAAGAATAAAATATAATAATAATAATAACAACTAAACTGCATGGCCAATAAATGGAATCATATATCATTAAAATACTTGCTTTTTTAATTTACATTAATTATCCAAATAAAAAATTGACCTTGATAAAATCTAAAGTCTGCTCATTTATTTCCTCTAAGGTGAAACAAAGTTCGCCGGGTCATCTAGTAAATAAATAAAAATGACTTACATAATCCTCGTTTAGTGGAACAGAGTAGTAAGGGACTGGCTGCCAGATCTTTCCTAGTGATTCATCCCATTGCTGAACTGGTTCCGGGGGGTAGGCAGCGGACATGGCTACTAGCGCCGTCATCTTCGTCCGATCCTTATCTGTGCTTCTAACGAGAATCTCATCCTTCAGGTAGACTTTGGATAAGATTTTCGAACCCTCGGATCCGTAGCGCTGACGGATGAACTTGCCGATTTGGTATGCCCTTCTTTTGCCGACCTGCCAATAAATCATGATAATGTAATAATCATTGTTTATAATTGATGAGGAAATGTTAAGTAGGTAGTTAACTCTTGTTTTCATGTTATTTTCTTTTTTTTTTTTTTGTCGTACTGTTGACATTTAAATTTAGCCTATTTTTCCGCTGTTTGTAAAGTTGCTGTAACATGTCGTAGTGTGTTATAAGAGATTGCTGTACATGCCTGTAACTGGCTTACATACCAGTACTTAATTTTATACATGTTAATTTTAAGCTTGAATGTTTTGTGTGTATTGCTGTTGGTGTGTCTAATAAATAAATCATGGAAACAAGACGTCGCGAAGATAGGAGAGGATCTGTGGCTGCCGACCGTCGTGGTTACAATGCTCGACTTCTGCGAGTCCACCATCTCGCGGAAAAAGGCGGCGGAACGGGAGAGCTCTTCATCCCTCTCGGCGCCGCGAGCTGGGGCTGGAGGAGAGCCTTCGTCCAGCTTTGGGCTCTGTGAGGAGGCTGTTTCCTCTTGGGGACGGTCACGAAGCGACCTTAAGGGTTTAAGCTACGCGTAAGTCTGGCGCGTTGTCGCCGGACGTGCTGTGCAACCCGGTCGACAGTGTATTGCGTTCGTATCCGGCAGGCTGGTTCAGTCTGGATGGAATCCCGTCCTATTATCAGGACGGGTACCGGCGACGGCGAGCCTTCGGCGCGCACTGTGCGGTACCGTGGGTTTCGTGGAGTCGGAGTGGTGGGGCTCGATGGGGTTTAGTCGGTAGTCGGTTTTGCGGGGTAGCTCTTGTGTGGCTGACGCCGTGCAGTGCTTTGCGCGCCTTTCTTAAGGCGTAGTCTCTCGGTAGGAATTGGAAGAAGAGGAGGACCCCGGTCTTCTTCTTCTCCCTGTTCTTCTCTGGAGGCGCCGGAATCCGACATAACTCGGTCTCTCACCCCCTGGACCGGGTATCCGTAAATGGATTCCCCAGCGTTAAAAAAAAGGCTGGTTCGGTCTATCCCAGAAAACCAGCGGTCGTCGACTACGGCTCATCTAGTCAATTTGTGTGACATGAAAAGAGCGCGACGTTAAAACGCGGCGCTAAGTAAGCGCTCTGTTTGACGAAGCCTTAAATGGCTCTCCTGTAAAGTTGCAATAATGTCGCTTAAACCAAATAGGCTTTCATCCATTGATATATGTACGGGGTCTTGCCACGATCTTCATTAAAGTAATAGCGTGTCTAATATACGATTATATATAAAAAAAATGAAAAACACGAAAGGAATTTGTGCTAGGACCCGGTGCGTGCGTTTCATTCTCACGTCATATTCACAGTTCGATAATCAACTTTAAAAATGTTTTAATGCAGAAACTTTTCTTGACAGTTTTCCTCGACGTACGACGTATATTATTTGAATGTTTCATAGGATTTAGTGATAAGGGCGACTCAAACTTATTGTTACGCCGGTAAGAGTAATGCCATTTATCGCCGAATAGTCGAACGAATATTGGAGGATCTATTAGCACCTAGAACGCTCGAGAAGTACAACGCCATCTATTGTCAGATAGCGGAAACACAATACTCGAAATGTGTGGAATCTTCTTGATAATTCTATGGATGTGGTATCGGCTATAAAAGCGTTGCAGAGATAGCACGAAGTCAGTCAGTAATCGGAATTACTCGAAGCGAAACAGCGAACGGACCACCTGAAGCGAAGCGGAAGAAGCAAATTGGGAGTTTTAAAGTGTTTGTGAAGTGTTTTAAGTGTTCTAAGTGCTAATACAGTTTTAATTTGTACTTCGGTGGAATTTTCTTTATCCTGAACCCCAGCGCGTAACATTATTATTGTTGTACGTAATCTGGAAAACAACTGGAATCAAACGCGACAAACTCACGTTGGTCAAGCCTTCAGGACCTTCTACGTGAGTGAGGCTCTTCAGTTCTTCCTGCTGATCAGAAAGAGAAAGCTCCACATCATCGGGAGCTCTCTCGCCATGTCTGTTCACCTGGAAGAAATGACAAGTTTGTACATACATTTTACAGACAAGCCAATGTTTACTGTTAGGGACTTAATGAGCTGACCTTAGAGCGCTTGGGAAACACCAAATCTGAAGTCGTCGTGGCCTAAAGGATAAGACGTCCGGTGCATTCGTATGTAGCGATGCACCGGTGTTCGAATCCCGCAGGCGGGTACCAATTTTTCTAATGAAATACGTACTTAACAAATGTTCACGATTGACTTCCACGGTGAAGGAATAACATCGTGTAATAAAAATCAAACCCGCAAAATTATAATTTGCGTAATTACTGGTGGTAGGACCTCTTGTGAGTCCGCACGGGTAGGTACCACCGCCCTNAATTATAATTTGCGTAATTACTGGTGGTAGGACCTCTTGTGAGTCCGCACGGGTAGGTACCACCGCCCTGCCTATTTCTGCCGTGAAGCAGTAATGCGTTTCGGTTTGAAGGGTAGGGCAGCCGTTGTAACTATACTGAGATCTTAGAAATAATATATCAAGGTTGGTGGCGCATTAACGTTATAGTTTTCTATGGGCTCCAGTAACCGCTTAACACCAGGTGGGCTGTGAGCTCGTCCAACCATCTAAGCAATAAAAAAAAAACCATGGACAGAGGTCACTACAGTACCGTAAGTGATAAAACAAAAAACGGGCTATCAATTAACCATGCTCTTTTTTTTGGGTGGACGAGTTCGTAGCCCTCCGGGTGTTAAGCGGCTAACGAAGCCCATAGGCATCAACAATGTAAACGCAGCCAGCTTGAGTCATGAGTTTCAAGTCTCAGTTTTTACAGTGCAGCGGCTGCCTTACCCTTCAAGCCGAAAGACTTGCTGCTTCACGACAAAGATAGGCAAGGCGGTCGTACCTACCCTTGCGAGCTCACAACATTATCTGCCATCAGTAATTAACCAAATTATATTTTTTGTTGATTTGATTATTTTATTTGATGTTATTATACCTGCAGCATGGAAGTTATTTGTGAACAGTTGTAAAGAAGATATTTCGTTGGCACAATTGCTACCTGCCTGTAGGATTCGAATTGACAAGATTGCACCGGACGTCTTGTCTTTTAAGTCAGTGGTTCGCAAACTTAAGGCCGCGTCCCCTGTGGGAGCCGCTAGAATATTATTTTTTTCTTAGTTTGGTGGACGATCTCACAGCCCACCTGGTTGTTAAGTGGTTACTGGAGCCCATAGACGTCTACAACGTAAATGCGCTGCCCACCTTGAGATATAAGTTCTAAGGTCTCGAGTATAGTTATGAATGTTGATGGGGGCCGTCAATTTTTTTTTGTAATTTTTCGATTGATTTAGCATCTAGGAGTCCGGTCCCCAAAAATTTTATGTCTACTGAAGGGGGTCGTAGTTGCAAATACGTCAGTGCACATCTGCTTTAGGCCACAAGACGTCTTCATGGTAAAAATTAGATGGAGGAGATATTATACATAGGACTTCTAAATAAAAATACTTACAAAATAAACCATCAACAGTTCCATGTCATCGTTCGCCTCCCGGTTGGTGACGTTGCCGGGGGATGTGTTCACTTGCATCAGCAAATAGACGAATATTAAATATTTCAGCATTTTCTGTAACAATAACAGTCTCATTAATATTCATCACAATATATACAAGGACAGTTGGTGGTAGGACCTCTTGTGAGTCCGCGCGGGTAGGTACCACCATCCTGCCTATTCCTGTCGTGAAGCAGTAATGCATTTCGGTTTGAAGGGCGGGGCAGCCGTTGTAACTATACTGAGATCTTAGAACTTACATATCAAGGTTGGTGGCGCATTAACGTTGTAGTTGTCTATGGGTTCCTGTAACCACTTAACACCAGGTGGGCTGTGAGCTCGTCCACCCATCTAAACAATAAAAAAATACAGTTACATTGTAAATTCAAAAAAATATGTGTGCTATTGCCACGTGGTAGAAGTGAAACCTTCAAAAATTTTGGTTTCAAGATAATGAGACGAATTTAAAATTTCGGGAAGAGGATAATTGTAGGTTTTAGTAACGATCATCATCAATGATACAAAGTTTGATAATTATTTTACATTATATTAAATAGATTATTACATAGATTTATTCAGAATGTATCAAGTACGAATATTAGGTACGAACCAGAGAGCACGCAGAGAACCGCGAATATAAGAAACAATGTTTAACGCTTATTTCATTCTTTCCCACGTTAAATCCTATGAATTTATGTGTCTGTCTCTTTTTACTGTCGATTTTTCGTTTCATCGACTTTCAAATGAAAACGACGCTAAAGAAGTTTTCACTTTAAAAAAATGGTGAGCGTGTAACTTGGTACATGTGAAAGAAGTGATACTTCTTTTGCGGTGTGCAGTATTATGTTTTTTCTTCATTTTTCATCCTTAAATCAAATTTCTTTTGTAGTACGGAATGCTGTGCTTAAGAGAAACGAACTAACTCGCTTTGTTCTTTCCCTCCTTCGTGGTCAAGTGGTTCGCGAGAAGCTCTATCTATTTTTACGCCGGAATGAGTAACGCCATCTATCGTCGAATAGTCGAACGAATATCGAAGGATCCAGAATGCTCGAGAATTACAACGCCATCAATAGATAGTCAGATAGCGGAAACTACTACTAGACAGGTGTGGAATATTCTCGATAATTCTAGGGATGAGGTATCGGCTATAAAAGCGCTGTAGAGATGGCACGCAATCAGTCAGTATCTGGAACTACTCGAAGCGAAACAGCGAAGGTTCACCCGAAGCGAAGCGGAACAAGCGAATTGAGAGTTTTAAAGTGTTTGTTGAATGTTTTTAAGTGTTTGTAAAGTGTTTAAGTGTCTAAGTGTTGAATACAGTTGTTAAGTTGTACTTTGGTGAAATTTTATTTATCCCGAACCCTCAGCGCGTAACACTATTTTCTCACACTCGCTCTTCTTGTATCTTTTCTCTCTAGCTGTAACGAATCTGTTGCGAGTTAGAATTTTACTCTCAACGCGCCTAAAGAAGTTTCACTTCAAAAAAGCCGAAAAGACTGCGTATTAACTTATGGTGAGATGTAGTGTGATTCTAAATGAGTACGCGCCGACATTATAACTATATCTGCCGCGAAACTTGCCTCATATAATATAGTATTGTATTATAATATTGTATAAAAGCGTTACAGGGATGGCACGCAGGCGGTTAGTAATCGGAATTACTCGAAGCGAAACAGCGAACGGATCACCTGAAGCGAAGCGGAAGAAGTGAATTGCGAATTATGAAGTGTTTCTTAAGTGTTCTAAGTGTTAAACAGAGTTTTAATTTGTACTTCGGTGGAAGTTTTATTTATCCCGAGCCCCAGCGCGTAATAATATTGTTGAGATTTATGTGAAGGCGCCTTCCCTGCTAATCGTTGCGCGTGTGTGTGGTGTTAGCTAAATATTTTGATCAGGCGCTTACATTCAAGCTTGTAACTCTCATTTCAAATTATTTTTGCCTTTGACGTTATCAGACTTAGTCGACTTTTTTTATTTATTGCCTTTGTAGGCAGAAGAGCATACGGCCCAATTGACGCTAAGTGGTTACCGTCGCTTATGGACGTCAGCAATGCCAGGGGCAGAGCCAAGCCGCTGTTTACCATAAGTCAGCCTGCTTTTGGCTCCATTGTGTACCAGAGTTATACAATCTATAAATATATTAATTTTAAATCGATAAGTAGTATATCGCCGTTGATTTCTTTATTGAAGTGATTCTTTTCCGCATGACAGTAGTCTGGAAGAGATCTGGAGAGAGATAGTGATAAGACTTTGTACTTTTGCATTTATATTTGGTTTCGTGTACAATAAAGCATATTCTAATCTACTAGACTATACTCTACTTATAATCAGGCGAACTTAGAGCGAGGTTAAGTAAAGTATCCTTATTATTATATATTTGATAGAGTTCAACAACATTGATACTATCTGATTAAAACTGTTGAAATTGTTTTTTTTTGTTTAATTTTTTTTAGTGTTTTTTTTTAGTCATAATAATACATTTTGATAACGAAGTTGACCTTAGATCTAAGAACGTTCTTTTATCACTATGAAAATGTTTCGTTTAAGCTAAAAGCTACAACAACATTACGGAATGTATGCGGATATGTTAAGCTTTCGGGAACAATGCGGCAGACACGGCAGACGTATAAGTAGACTAGCTGTACCCGTCCGCTTCGCTGGGCATTTAAAATTAACATTATTATTTCTCATCACCAGAAAGATTCTCATCATTAACGCCCCCGCAACTGGTGTAGGGAGTCCAACACTCATATAAATATGAGCCTATCCATTAAGTACATGTATTTTCTACATGGGTACCAAGTTTCAAGTCAATCGGGTGCATGGTTCAGTAGTTATAACGGAACATCCGTAATAACCACTGTAGATTTATATTTTAGTATAGATAGACATCAAACTTTACCATACTGGAATCGATTTTTTTTCTCCTATCTAAGCTGCTAGCCTTTAGAGGCTATATCAGCGTAACCTTAACTAGTAGGTGAGCTCACGGGGCTCAAACCTAACACGAACCCTAGCAAGGGCCATGCTTCGCAGAATCTACCACCGGATCTGAAACGCGACTCACTGAGAAGATCCGGCGAGAAACTCAGTGGGCTGTGTCTGAGGGTTTTTTGCGTTAAAATAGGCCAGACTCAAGCTCCCCTACCAAACTCCCAGCCTAGCCATTAATAATTTTATTATTATGTAATATTGTGTATGTAATATTATCACATTGGTTCTAAAGAATTGGTGGGCGAATTTGAACAGTCAGTTAATTTAGTACTAAATTTAGTTTCATAAAAAATTATCGTAGATTAGTTAGTATAGCTTTTCAACTTTATTATTGTCTTTTTAGACGGACGTGCATCCGACCTATCTGATTGTGAGTGGCCAACTTCGCTCATGGACTTTTTTTTTTATTACTTAGATGGATGGAGGAGCTCACAGCCCACCTGGTGTTAAGTGGTTACTGGAGCCCATAGACATCCGCAACGTAAATGCGTCGCCCACCTCGAGATATAAGTACCAAGGCCAGTAGGCAGTTAACGGTTTGTTTTATGCGGCCTATGTATGCTTGTATGCTTACAACGGCTGCTTCACCCTTCAAACCGAAATGCATTACTGCTTCGCGTCGGAAATAGGCCGGTAGTGGTACCGACCCGTGCGGACTCACAAGAGGTCCTACCACCAGTAATTACGCAAATTATAATTTCGGTACTGTTTCAGATATGAGACAGGGTGTATAGACAGTTGCCTTCCGGCGCGCTTCAGAATTTTGCCGGACCGCCGTAGATCCGTTCAGGCTCAATTACCGATAAACTCGCGTCCTCAATGATACCATAATGCTCGCGAGGCAACTCGATCACAAGTCGACAGCGTGCTAGGAAGTAAAACCGGTTTTGTTACGTACTTTTGTTTATTTTGCAGTCAGTCTCGATAACGCGGTAAAACTGTTTTGTCGTTTTATTTTATCTGTAAATTTTAATTAGAATAACTATCGCGATATATGTTTAGCTGTTTTTTTCTTTGTTTTTTTTTATTATTTAATTAATCTCCATTGGTAACACGAAATCACTGGTATTCAGAAGTTTTCTGAGTTAAAACGATATCTTTCCCGAGAGATTCGGCATGATGCGATGTCGCTTAGCTATTGTAAAATATGTATTCGAATCTATAGAAAAAATACATTATATTTTATTAGAATTTTTATTAGGTTGAGATGGTTTATGTTTAAGATGTTTAGTTATTTTGTTATAAAAGTTTAAAATCTTACATTTTACTGATATATTATCTGCGCTATCAAATCGTATTATTATCATATATAATCATTGTTGCATGTAAGCAATCATTACTGGACATAAAAAAGAATTTTTAACCGAGTAATTTCAATTACCATGGATAATGTCATAAGTGCTTAATCGTAGTGTTTAAATGTATATTCAACATTTCACTTTAGCTCTAATGACGTCAGGTAGGATGGAGATTTAGAAAGCGTTCCTAATTATTGTAGGCCATTTAGAAAAAAAAAAACGCTTTTTTTTTGCTTAGATGAGTGGATGAGCTCACGGCACACCCGGTGTTAAGTGGTTACTGGAGCCCATAGACATCTACAACGTAAACACGCCACTCATCTTGAGATATAAGCTCTAAGGTCTGCGAAACGCATTACTGCTTCACGGCAGAAATAGACAGGGTGGTGGTACCTACCCGTGCGGACTCACAAGAGGTCCTACCACCAGTAATAAAATGCTGTCTGTAATCTATATATTAATACGCGAAGCAAAAACTTTGTATCACTTTTTACGAAAATTGCGTGGACGGAGGAGTATGAAATTTTCCACACTTATAGAGAATATAGAGAAGAAGTGCACAATGCTAATTTTTTTTTTAAATAATGCATAAAAGATACATTAAATCAATAAAGAAAACATTACACACACTACATACCATGTACTTGACGCACACACGCATGCATACTATTTATTGTCAAACTTTTGTTCTTGACGTCTATTGTCAAATTGAGAATAGATTAAATATTGTTTGTCTTTGTTAATATTTGTTATAGTGCAGTCTTGGCGTAATTTGTGATTAAACAAGTATAAAATACAATCATAATACAAACTTACAATTCCAATTAATTATAGTCGAATTTCGACTACTGCGGGACCTCTAGTGCTAACTTATGATGCGATCTCCGGTCTTTTTTTATGATTGAGTGATTTCCGGTAGCGCGGAGATCTCTCCAGTTTCACCAGGACAGGTGGGCGAACAAAGGCTCAGCCAGGAGGGGTGGGATTGCTAACAGCTGCCCGAGCGCCTCCAAACGAGACCTAATAACTCAAGAGCAGCTGCTTCGCGAATGAATCTACTACCGGATTGAAATCACGACCCGCTGAGAAGTTCCGGCGAGAAACCCTTCGAGCTGATGCATGGGTTAGGTTGCACGTCGAACTCTGGGTTCGACGAGTATGGTTAGACCTCCGGGTTCGGATAGCTATCATTAGAACGCAAAATATGTAACAGACGCCTGAATCGCGCTAACGAGTTTTTCAAGATAAGCTTTTATATACATACACAGATTCCGAACAATAACATTTGGACAGTCGATCTACTAAGCAATATTGCGGTGGAAGATCCTCGTCATTACTTCCAAACTCTTAAATGTCTTGTTCAAAACGAAGTTTTCTTATTGCAAGTTGTACGATGTGTGATGCAAACAACATACATATAATTAGAATCTTCTGGTATTTTGTACTCCTTATCTCTCGCCGCGCAAGGAAAACAAGCAAAATCTTACGCCAATTTCAAACAACGTATGTGTACATGTTAAAACAAAATTATGAATAACATATTATTTGATCACCGACTATACGTTGTTATACAATATACTAGTGTTCGTCACCCTCAGACACAGCCCACTGAGTTTCTCGCTGGATCTTCTCAGTGGGTCGCGTTTCCGATCTGGTGGTAGATTCTGCGAAGCACGGCTTTTGCTAGGGTTCGTGTTAGCAACGTCGTCAGGTTTGAGCCCCGTGAGCTCACCTACTAGTTAAGGTTACGCTGGAATAGCCTCTCAAGGCTACCAGCTTAGGTAAGAAAAAAAAAAGTGTTCGCACAGCGTTCGAAATCATAATATAATAATCTTATACCTTTAAACGAGCAATTCTTGTATATTAATATATATATATATAATCTGAATCTCGGAAACGGCTCCAAAGATTTTCATAAAATTTAGTATACAGGGGATTTCGGGGACGATAAATCGATCTAGCTACGATTTATTTTCAGAAAATGTTGTTTTATTCGTGTTTTCAATTATCAACTTTATGACTCTTCCCGACATCTATTGGCGAATAATAATACTATTTTTCTTAATTGAGAGCAACTAACTGCTTTAAAGACACAACAAGATGGCGTTATAAAAAAAAAAACCGGTCATCATCTAGTATATCATAATATATTCAAGATAACAAAATACAAAATGGATCTATATTTCATGTTTTATACATATTTTCTCTTTGGTATAGGAAGTGGATTTTTTCTGGAGTAGACTTTAAGTGTTAAAGTGTTAGCTATTTTGCTTTGTCTATTTTACTGGTGGTAGGACGTCTTGTGAGTCCGCACGAGTAGCTACCACCAACCCGCCTATTTCTGCCGTGAAGCAGTAATACGTTTCGGTTTGAAGGGTGGGGCAGCCGTTGTATATACTTGAGACCTTAGAACTTATATCTTTTTTTTTTTTTTTTTTTTTTTTTTTTTTTTTTTGCCCTTGTAGGCAGACGAGCATACGGCCCACCTGATGGTGAGTGGTTACCGTCGCCCATGGACTTCAGCAATGCCAGGGGCAGAGCCAAGCCGCTGCCTACCGCTTAATACTCTCCAAAAATATCTCAAGGTGGGTGGCGCATTTACGTTGTAGATGTCTATGGGCTCCGATAACCGCTTATCACCAGGTGGGCTGTGAGCTCATCCACCCATATAAGCAATAAAAAAAACGATGTTAGTAAAATTTAATTTCTAATGTCCATGTCAGTGTGAGTACTTCAAACACTAAGCGATAGTTAGAGCCGTCGGCGGACTTCATCTTGCGTAAAAATTTAATGCACATATTAAATTTTATACGATTTCGTGAAAGGAGGATGTGACGTAAGATATTGTTATAGCTTGTGTGTGAAAAGATCAAGGACTTTACGTTTGAACGGAATCTAACGAGCAAATCTATAATACAATCCAACGATTGAAATGTATTGAGACGTGTTAAGAAAATTTGAGAGAAAACTTTCTTTCCACAATAACTGAAATAAATTTGCATCAAAATCGAATGAATGTTTCTAATACATAAAATTATTCTATATCTATTTTAATACTTTATACCTATGTATTATGAATACATAATACCTACGTATTATATATGTATATAAGAATAATAATAATATAAAACTCAATGGTTACATTTATTTATTTAGCTTCGTATTTAGTGATTGTTCTTGTTTTGTAGTTATTCTCTGTATCCGTAACACAGGAGAAAAATTTAGCGTGTACAATTACGCATCTTTGGACTCTTGTCTTGGATAATTATAATTTTCTTTGGGCCTTGAACCGCTAGAATATCTAGATTAATCATATGTATTTAAGTTGGTCTAATCCTAAAAACGCTCTAATATATAACACATTTCAATCGATTACCATTTAAATGTTCAGAGTGCTGATTGGAATCGATTTCTGAACTAATGTATACTATACTAAAATGTCAACATACCTGATAAAATATTTAATCGTTTTTTTTTTTTATTTTACAAGACAATGCTCCGATGGCTGATGATCCCTGAGCAGTTGAAGACAAGGTGAGATGGCACAGCATTGTATAGAACACAAGTCATGGATGTAGACATTCATTGCATCCATGGTTCCAAGAATAAATTCGTGTAATAAAAATCAAACCCGCAAAAATTATAATTTGCGTAATTACTGGTGGTAGAACCTCTTGTGAGTCCACACGGGTAGGTACCACCACCCCGCCTATTTCCGCCGTGAAGCAGTAATGCGTTTCGGTTCGAAGGGTGGGGGTAGCTGTTGTAACTATACTGAGTCCTTAGAACTTATATCTCGAGGTGGGTGGTGCACTTACGTTGTAGATGTCTATGGGCTTCAGTAACCACTTAACACCAGGTGGGCTGTGAGCTCGTCCATCCATCAAAGCAATAGAAATAAAAATAAAGATGGAGATTGTCGTGATATTATTTAACAAAGATGCTGGTCTCGTCAGTTAAAGAGACCACAACTTTTAGTCAAGGACCCGAACCACAAAGCCAAATATTTCAACTGTCTTCAACGTGGTCTACAATTTGCGAAAACATAACAAAGCAACTTCTAAGCTTACTTGTACTTCTTTTGCTTTTGCGAGATCAAAACTACTTATACTGTGAAGCATTATCTAGAAATATTATATTAGAAGCATTTTTCATAAAAGTAATTTTAGTTCTTATAGCTTACATTCGTGCGACGTGCGAACGGCGCCATTGTCGCTACGGCCTGCGTCGTCCATGACATTAACATTGCCGGGACACGAGGTAACCATGAATTAACGCGAACTGAATTTACGTAACCGTACGCAACACGTGTGTGATAACAACGTGAGGCCACGACCGTGACTTCTAAAACTCTGGTCGGAAACAGCGATGGGGTTTACGAGCAATACGAGCGACCGCCCGCGGCCATACACACAGACAAGCGTCCGTGTAGGCTCTCAACAAACATTGACATTACCACTTTTATTTTTATTTTTTTTATTGCCTTTGTAGGCAGACGAGCATACGGCCCACCTGATGGTGAGTGGTTACCGTCGCCCATGCACTTCAGTAATGCCAAGGGCAGAGCCAAGCCGCTGCCTACCGCAAAATCAATATACCTATATAATATATTGCCAATGCAATAGAATAAAAAACAAACGACCGAATGTTGCTCCTGGAATCTCTGAAAGTAAATAGACACGATCGAAATTGGTGCATTCATTCTAGAGACCACAAACATACAGACAAACGTTCAAATCGTCTCAATTTATACATTTTAGACACGATTATAGATAGACACGATGAGATCATAAATCATGAGTCATCGTTGTAAACGCGGTTCTTGGGTACGAGTTAGGTAGAGTATTTTTAAATTCAAAGTCGATTAGTACCTCCTTGGGTGCTTTGTTTCATCGACATATTTGCAATATCTTCTTCTTAGTCGGAAACTTTTCAGAGTGGTCGTGGTTGCTCTGACGATTTATATGCACAAGTACTTGCTAGGTCACTCATGTTCAAGATCTGCGGGTTTGAAGCGTTTTGAGTAAATTGGACCATGGTTGACTCAGTTGTCTTCCATATTGCGGTGACCGACGTCATTGGTCCTCGACTATCACCTCGACGACCCGTCGGTCGGGCGTCCTCGGGGTGGCACCGCGTGTCGTTGACCGCGGGAACTTCCCTACTCTGACCGGGTTTTGACCCCGGACGGAGATCGGACGTCGGGTGTAAGAGTGCAGGGGAGTCGTTTAGTAGGTGGGGCCCTAAAATTCCTTGGGCCCGCGGTCTGAGCCCAACACCTTGCAGATCGTCAAGTCCCACATACCCCGCGCGCCCCCTAGGCGCGGGGACCTCGTAGGAGGTACGGCCCCGGTCCAAAAAAAAAAAAAGTTGTCTTCCATATTAGGTCAGTTCAGAGGGTTGGTGCATTAAGCAATTTGCAATATACAACGATCGAATATTTTCTCACCACAATCCATGTATAAGATGACATTCAAGATAACCGAGATTACCCCCCACTTCAATTTCGGAAACGACAGTGCCTAGCGCATACTCATAGTGTGCGTGTTGAATGAATAAACTATTTACAGAAAAGTAGGAGAGCGTGATCCAGTAGGTCACAAATGCTTTCAATAGGCCATTAGAAAAAGTCCTATGCCGACTCTATGATTTTCTCCTGTGTTATGGGTATCACAAACACATACGAAATAAAGTACGCTGAAACCTACATCTCGCAGAAGGAGGCGGCGGGGCGCGTGAGAGACGCACAATCCCGCCGCCGTCGAGCGGGGGCCAGGGAGGCGGATCTCGCCCAAGCCCTGGCCCTCTAAGTGTTTCGGGTCCCCCTCACATGTCGGTCTGGGGACCGGCGAGGGGGGCCTAAGAAGACGACGTGCAAGCTGCTCTGCACGCGTTTTACGCAAGAGCATCCGGGTGATGGAAGGCCGGCTATCCTCGACCCACGCTGGTTCTGGCCNATTTCATTATACCCCTTCTAGACTGTTTTTTTTTTTATTGCCCTTGTAGGCAGACGAGCGTACGGCCCACCTGATGGTGAGTGGTTACCGTCGCCCGTGGACTTCAGCAATGCCAAGGTTAGAGCCAAGCCGCTGCCTACCGTACCGTATACGCTTAAAGCGTTTGTGTCTCGTTGAATAATTTTATTCATGATCTGGTTTCGAAAGCCCCTCCGGGTAATTACCGCGATACCGTCTATTTCTGTCGCTAAGTAGTCATGTGATTCCCCGCCTTCAGTTACAATTGTTGTATAAGACAGTTGAGTTTGACCTCATGATTTAAGGTTAGCGACGATGTTAATGTCTGTACTTATAAGTATTTATGTCTATGTTCTCCGGTTATCATCGGACACCAGGTGGACAGCTTCATTGTTGAAAGCCGGTTTCGTTAATCCTCAAAGTATTTCAAATTTATCTGACGCGTTAAGGCAATATTTTCTTGTTGCCTTGTTTTTCTATGTGAATAAAGAAATCTTCTCCACATTCCTAATTCGTATCTTGAACACGTGTGGCTTGTTCCAGGTTGTGAAGTCTATCAGCTCAGGTGATCGTTTAACCCTTTGACTGCCATGTAGTCCACCTATGTCCTACATGGCGCATTGAAGTAATTTTGTATGTTGATTTCTGTTACTAAGCACCTGGATTGACTAACTTCGCCTTCTTTTGTTTGTTAATGTATGTTTTCGTCTTTCAGGTCTCTTAGAAACAGATTCATTCTCAGTATCTTCGGATTCGTCTTTTCCAAAGTCTTCTAGATATTCCGGTGCCTTAGTAACAGAAATCGATATAATTACTTCAGTGCCCCACGCAGGGCACCGGTGACCTACACGGCAGTCAAAGGGCTAAATTCAGTTCGCCCGTTAGATTGTCAGTCCGTCTAAGCTAATTAAAATCTCATCTATCGTATTACAAACTAACTTTACAACCTCGACAAAACAAACCGCTAACTGCCTACCGGCCTTGGTACTATGAATAAACTGATTATAAAAGCTAACAAACAAAATCCTGCACCTACACACTTGCTTGCGAATCCTTCGCGTTAAGTTTGCGAATTAGTACGTAATTACAGTAGGCGTTAAAGCTTGATATTCGATAATCGGTTAATTGGGGTCTTTGAAAGAGCCGTGTCTGTCATGTTCGCGTCCAATTTCCTTACATTCGTTGAGTTGTGCTGAACAGCCGTCAAACAATATCTTTCAGATTCCGATTTCATGTCTCAAGTGAGATGGAAGTATCCGCAGGCGCTGGTAGCCGTTAAATATCAAGTGCTTCGCTAGTACGCGTTCAGATTATTCATCTCGCATCCAACAGCTACAAATTCGCAGTCAGACCTCACCGGCCTTTTTTTTTTCTACCTAAGCTGTTAGTCTTGAGAGGCTATTTCAGCGTAACCCTAACTAGTAGGTGAGCTTATGGGGCTCAAACCGGAGTGATGCGAACACCGGCCCTAACAAAAGCAGTGCTTCGCAGAATCTACCACCGGATCGGCAACGCGACCCACTGAGAAGATCCGGCGAGAAACTCAGTGGGCTGTGTCTAAGGGTTAATTCGCTCGTCGAGCCCTTCGTCGCATGCGACGGGATCAACGAGGACCGTTAATGGATCGAAACAGGCGATGAGTGTAAGCAAACGTGGAAGTATTTTGAGATACGATTCTCGATTGTATTCGTGTTACGGTTTTCAGACCGTTTAAGGGGGAACAGAAAAGATTATCATCAAAGAAGCACTTGATTGGGGAATGGGAACTTTTTTCATGGAATCATTAGAAAGAAGACCACACGGTCCCCCTAATGGGAAGTAGTTGTAAGAGAACAGCCAAGCTACTTGGAACCCCGGGATCCACTCTCATTGCTTTTAGGCTCTTCAAGCACCGGTCACCGTCATCGCTGAACTACTACTACGTTGAAGAGTTCGACATGCGAATTGACCCCTAGACACAATCCACTGAGTTTATTTTATTTTATTTTTATTGCCTTTGTAGGCAGACGAGCATTCGGTCCACCTGATGGTGAGTGGTTACCGTCGCCCATGGACTTCAGCAATGCCAGGGGCAGAGCCAAGCCGCTGCCTACCGAGAGAGATTTCTCGCCGGATCTTCTCAGTGGGTCGCGAACCGGTAGTAGATTCAGCGAAGCACTGCTCTTGTTCGGGTTAGTGCTAGCAATTCTCTCAGGTTGAGCCCGTGAGATGACTGACCGCTTCGCGCGAATTTGGTAAAGCCCCTTAGGCTACCAACCATTAGGTAGGGAAAAACAAAAAAAAACAAATCTCCGNCTGCCTACCGAGAGAGATTTCTCGCCGGATCTTCTCAGTGGGTCGCGAACCGGTAGTAGATTCAGCGAAGCACTGCTCTTGTTCGGGTTAGTGCTAGCAATTCTCTCAGGTTGAGCCCGTGAGATGACTGACCGCTTCGCGCGAATTTGGTAAAGCCCCTTAGGCTACCAACCATTAGGTAGGGAAAAACAAAAAAAAAACAAATCTCCGCCTACAAGTGCGATGCTTCAGTATTTTTATATAAGGCACTAGCTGACCCGGCAGACTTCGTAGTGCCTCAATCGATAAATAAAAGACCTAAAGTTTTGTATAAAATAAACTTAAAACAAACAAAAGGAATCCCTGTCCGACGGGGGACACATCAAAGGAAAAACAAAATTGTTACCTATTTTTATTTAATTCCGAGCATTTTGATATTTATCAACCTTTTAAACCTTCTCTGGACTTCTACAAATAATTCAAGACCAAAATTTGCCAAATCGGTTCAGCCGTTCTCGAATTTTAGCGAGACTAACGAACAGCAATTCATTTTTATTTATAAAGATAGATTTTAATACTTTGTGTCTGTTAGTTCACGTTTTGTATGTGTATATCTATAGCGCAGGTGAAAATTCTAGCTTAGATTCGTTGAATGTTGACATTCGTTTTGCTTTGTTCGTCAAGCTACGCAAGCCAGTCGATGCGTTCGCGACGTCAGTGTGGAGCTGGCATAACTGGTTCGTCAATGAATATTGTTTACAAACACATACATACGTATGTACGTCATTCACATTAGTGTAGGGTTTTACTTCAGTCTTTTATAATATCGACCGAGGAGATAATATTGTTTTTATTTAAATTAGATCTTTTCAATTTATTATATAGTTTTCACATGTTTTTATGATTTTATATTGTTACTTTATTTTATTAGTTAGTATTGTGTTATATTATCAGTTCAAAAAAATATGTTTTAAAATTATTATTAACAAGCGGCCCGCTCCGGCTCCGCTCGGGTCTTTAACAAAAATTTCAACGATATTTGACGTTGTTTTATTTTTGTTAAATAAAAGAACGCTTATTGCGGCATAACTATAATAGTTAGACATATGTTGCCGCGACACTTTTTG